TAAGGATAAAGGATTTGAGGAAGGGTTGGGGATAGAAGAAAAGATCCTGGTTGAATACATGGAAAGGTAAAACCCACTAAGAATGGAATTTCAGATTGTTTAGCATCTTTTACTGTATCAGACACTGCTTAAAACATGATTAGGTTTCCACACTCCCCTTCTCAGATTTGTATAACTATGTTGCCGATCCAAAAGCATTCATTGCAGACTATTCCAATCAAGGATGGAAAATCGTCCTTAAAAGGAACAGAAGCAGATAAATATAAAGATTATATCAGCTTTTAGAACAACTGTGCAGCAGTTCCAACTACAGGTTAAGCGTGGCACCTTCGTTCGTAAAGGACAAACAAATGGTCTCCTTACTGTTTAATCTTGCTATACACTCTTGACTAAAGGTAGATTTGCCCCTCTATAGTTAAGCCATGAAGGCAATTCTGGGTATAAAGTTTAATGATTCACTTGGTTGGTGCCTAGTGAGGTATGCCTCAGACAGAATAATCTCCCGATGAAAGGGCTACATATCTGCCACAGGTGAATCATCTTTTCTCCCATTGGAAAATAGTATCCTAGACATAGAGCATGATCCTTAATTTGCTAAGGTTACCAATGGATCATGCCAAGGACTATAACAGAATTTTTAGCAGGGTTGGTACAAAAGATATCTTATCATAAAGACTTGGGATGCCATTCCAGCAGCAATCTGGTGGAATTTCTAAGGGGTTGCAAATTCCTTATGTAGCTTGAAATCCTCGTGCTTACAATAGTTTGCTTTCTGGTGTAAATTTGCTTCTAGGAATGATGTAGCTATTTGTTGATTCCTTACAGCTTTAAAAAGGCATCCAAAATTTAGGAGTCTGTAAATTTCTGTTTACATGCAACCACTGTGTGCAGTTATATGAAGTCCTTTTAGCTTATCTAAAAACAAAGGAAAAGAAAAAATACTAGTACCAAATATTGTAAATGACTAAATGCTAGGACGCTCCGCTTTAGCAACTTTTAGGTGATAGAGAAAGCAAAATGGAGAATAGAAGCATGTTGAACCCAATCATGTGAGCAGTTGTTTATGAGGTGAACTGAAGGAAAATGTTTTATATTTTGTTTAAGAAGGCAAGTAAAACTCTCGTCTTATATGCAATCTGGATGGTCGTGTGCACCTTGCTATTTGTTAGATGCTAAACACAGCCTGGTGGTCAAGTTATAGAGTTTGCACTCTCCTTGAAAATCTGTGATACAGTTTTAGCTTGTCTGTTGAATTTGGGGTCACGACGCTCTCAATCTCCCCCTATCCCCCTTTCTGAACTTGTATCTAGGTGGGATTAATTTATGACAAGTTCCGTGTTACGATTAGTTAATAAGCAGGGATAATTGAGTCATTGTACTGGGTTAATGAGGCATGGTTTAGTCATTTCGCAGGAGTTAGTTGTCGATCTCTTTTATTTTCAGTTATTCAGTTAGGGGGTTGAGTTGTTAGTTGCAGACAGGGAAGAGTGGAGCTTACTTAAATGTCAATTCATGTAGATTATAGATCTTCTTGGAAGCAATGCCAAAAATATTCATCTTTTCTCTCACTATTTTGTTGTTACGCTTAGTTCAAAGATCATCCGTTGTTTTAGTCTTTTAGATCTTCTGGAAGCTGCAAAGTCATTGATGATTTGAGACATCAGAATTCGGTATTAGAGCCAGTGGTCGTCAACAATGCCAAAAGGAACTAAATTCAATGAGTTGCTGGCAATCAGATAAAAGGTTATGAAATAATGATCTGAGGAGTTCATGTCATATTTATGATGTTGCATTAAGAGTACTTGGATTGTTATTGTTATTGTTATTGTTATTGACAGCTGGGAGTTTACTCCACCAGAGTGCTCCAGTTTAGGATGAATCTTGAAGCAGAACTGTAGTTATAAGATGATTCCATGCTGTAGGGATAATCTTTGATGCTTCACGAAAACTAATATTATTCTCTTTTCTACGATGTAAATAACCGTCATCTGCATTTTGTGCTTGCAGCATCTAAGGTGGACCCGCTGCACCTTGAGTATTTTGTCTTTGCTGGCAGGATGATTGCATTGGCCTTATTGCATAAAATACAAATCAGCATTGCGTTTGATCGTGTGTTCTTTTTGCTACTAGCTGGAGCTTCTGATGTTGGTTTATTCTATTTCAAATTAGCTGGAAAGAATATTTCATTGGAAGACATTAAGGATGCAGATCCATACTTGTACAGTAGCTGCAAGAAGATACTGGAGATGGATCCGGAGATGGTGGATCAAGATGCTCTAGGCCTGACATTTGTTTATGAAATTGAAGAATTGGGGTCCAGGAAAGTGGTTGAGCTTTGCCCCAATGGGCAAGGTACCGTAGTGAACAGTGAGAACAGGGATAAATATGTTAATCTTCTTATCCAACACCGCTTTGTCACTTCAATTGCTCCGCAGGTAACCCATTTTGCTCGAGGTTTTGCAGACATAATTACTCACCCATGGCTCCGAAGATCCTTTTTCCGGATCTTAGATCCTGAAGATCTTGACTCGATTCTTCATGGGAGCAAAAGTGATATTTCTGTAGAAGACTGGAGAGCACATACCAATTACAAAGGCTACAAAGAAAGTGATCCTCAAATATCCTGGTTCTGGAAGGTGCACTTTTCTCTTCTACTACTAACTATGTTTCCATAATATTGAGAAATCTACACCTTTGCCCTTTCGATCTCCTCTTTCTTCTTTGTTTCTTAAAGTGGTAGATTTCTGAATTCTATTCTTTTCAAAGTGTTTGTATTGGGCTGCATTTTCAAAGTTTTCTTTTCCACTGCTGCAGATAGTTAGCGGTATGTCTGCGGAGCAGAGAAAGGTGCTTCTTTTCTTCTGGACTTCAATTAAGTCTCTTCCTGTAGAGGGTTTTGGTGGTTTGGCTTCTAAACTATACATCTACAAGACCTCGGAATCTTATGATTGCTTGCCTTCCTCGCACACATGCTTCTACCAACTATGTTTTCCTCCTTATCCGTCCATGGATGTCATGCAAAATCGACTTCACATAATCACCCAGGATCATGTTGGTTGCAGCTTTGGTACCATGTGACATGGAAATTTGGGGGTTGAATTTTGTGCATATGATATGTAAATATGTGAACTTGTATATAGATGTAGGAAATGCCTACCTTCTGAAACTTGACTACTGTAAGGTCTCTTTTGATGTTTTGGTTCTAGGAAGTGTTAAGTATGATATAATGTTAATTATCTTGTATATAGATGTAGGAAATGCCTGCCTTCTGAAACTTGACTACTGTAAGACGGTCTCTTTTGTGTTATGGTTCTAGTAATCGTCTACATGGCTGAAGGTTAAGCTTTCCTCTCTAGTTTTTCCTGGTCTAATGTTTATACAGGTATATATAGTCGTATATATTAGTAACAGAGAATGATATCTTCAGTTTTCTGATTTTACAATCTTTGTTAGTTTTGTTCCTTTATTCTTTTTACCTTTTCTGATATTGTGTCAGATTGGCTGAAGGTCGTATATTTCTTGTCAGTTTAGAGATGACGAAAATGTTCTAGTTGTATATGTTCAGTAACATAATTGTGGATGTTCATAACTCCGGAGTAACTTCCATATGAGCAACCCCAACATGATGTTTGAGAGCCTATAAATAGAGGTCATCTGCAGAGCTTCAACGTACATTAGTTTGATTGAAAAGATAAGTTCTTATCTTTTCTCAACTGTTTCTCTATTCTCTTGTTTTTACTACAATTTTTTTTTTCCATCTGTTTTTGTAACACGATAGACCTTTTTTTTGTTGGCTTTCTTAATGCATGGATGTCACTTTTATTCCTCCTTATTTTTTTTTATTTTTTTTTGCAGATTATAACCATCTGTATCAGGAACCTTCTGGTCAAATTCGCGTAGGGCTCATTAAAAGGGGAAGCACTCTTTACCGAAATTTTTTCTCAAGGTTCGAATCCGGTCTCCAGTTATGGTTAGTCCCGTTCCTCCTTTTTTATAGTTACAGGGTGTTTCTATTTGTAAAGCATTTTGGCAACCACTGTTATGTATATATTTATGCATCTTCACTCCGTACTTGTCCGACTTTAGATTTAGTTTGTTTATATTCCAAACATTTTCGTTGAGAACCTCACTCATTAAAGACTGTCCTAAACCTCACTGATTTAGAAAATTTGTGAATATGGATACCTTTTTTTCTTCCTCACGCTTAATGAAGGGGGTTCAATTGAATTCAATTTGTTGGAAAACTTTGTAATATATATATATATATATATATATATATATATATATATATATATGCGAATGTGTGTGTGTGTGTGTGTCAGTTTGTCTAAACCTTATTATGGATAAACCTCTTCCAACACCATACTTAGATTTCAGCTCTTCATTCGCAATTAGATTACTGAAATTGAACAATATAATTTGTCAAAATTGCTACAAAATACTACTATTAATTGCCTGAGAAAATTGTAAGTGGTATATGATGTGGAGCTGTGCATAATTTGGTAAATACCGAATTACCATATCGAAACCGGAAATTTTGGTATTTGGTTTAAATTTTAAAAATAATTGGTATTAGGTATGGTATTTGATATTTTAAAATGAAATATCGAAATACCGATACCGTACCGAAATATATATTATATTACACAATACACATATTTTTAGTTATAACATAATATAAAAAATCTAAATTTACTTTCCTTTGTTCTCTAAGTTCATCAATTAACTCTAAGCAAGTAACAAGACATTTCTAATGATCAAATTTATTTCTTTATGTATTATTTTCTCACTCTCGGGTGATATTTGCTTGTTTTGGACAAAATATTTGTCAACAAGCGTTTTTAGTTTTGTACTTTTGAGTATTTTAATTAAGAATATTATAGTCTATGACACTTTTGAGTACTTTAATTAAGAATATTATAGTCTATGACTCTACGCACTAGTTAGTATTCAAATCGAATAAACCGAAACCGAAAGGAGAAAAACCGAACCATACCGAATTTAATTAGGTACGGTATTGGTATAGCATCTTAAGAAACCGAATACCGAACCGAAATGTCTAAATACCGTACCTTACCGGCCGACGAACACCCTGTATGTTAAAACAACCAAACAGATGTTTTCCTTTTGACTTAGCTATCAAGTACTAGCTGTCTCAGTCGTCAATACTTATTCAATAACAGATTCTTTCCCTAGCTTTTGATGCCTGCAAGCCAAATAAGAATGCTATTAGTCACAGAAGTCATTTCCAAGGATGTTAATTAATTCAATAAACACAAATATTTTCTAAGAATAGCACCTGCCTTTTCCAATCTGTAAAACTTGTTATCAAGGAAAGCAGAAAAGATTGCATTAAATTTCCCACATTTAATCCAAACCAAAGACCCTTTCCTTGAAAATGGAGTACAAAGCCAGATAATATGGCTACAGGCATTCCAACAAGATAAAATGAACCAAGATTAACATATGCTCCCAAATGCTGCCACCCACTTCCTCTTGCAACTCCTGTGGGAAATTTAGTAATTCCAGGATATATTATTTAAGGATAAAACAGTAAAATTGATAATCACAACAAGCTAAGTCAAAAGGAAAACATCTGTTTGGTTGTTAGGATTGATAATTACAGTAAAACAGTAATTCTATATTTTTTTTTATGGAGTGATCCTCAATTTATAGAGGTCACAACATTTTTTATTCCAAGAAAAAGATCCGTTAAATATGGAAGAGATCTATACTTTTCTTTTAGGAAAAGTAAAAAATCAATTATGATAAACTATTTTTCATTCCTTCAAGAAAAGGTAAAATTCAAATATGGAAAGAAAATCAGGATAAAATCCTAACAATTTTTCACTTTTGGCGTGAGTTTTCATCACTACTACTTGCCCATGGTTAAAAGTAGGTATGTGTTAAAAATTGGAGCGTTGTGCGTGGAAAGTGAGCACGGGTTAAAGGTATTGGAGCTCTGCATTAAAAGTGAGTAAGGCACACTTTATAGAGATCCCTTTTTCTCCAAGAATGAGATCTGTTAAATATGGAAGAGATATATACTTTGCTTTTAGAAAAAGTAAAAATCAATTATGATAAATTATTTTTCCTTCCTTCAAGAAAAGGTAAAGTTCAAATATGAAAAGAAAATCAGGACAAAATGCTAATAACATCGACATAACAACTTAGTAAGACCAATATAATTTTTCACATGTGGTCGCTGAACTTAACATTAAACTAACTAAACTATACTCTCAAAAGTAATTGAACTATATGTCAATTATACAAAAAATACATTTTGTATAATTGGTACTAGATTTACTAATATTACGTATAGTTAACTCTACTATTTGATCTTAGGTACTCAGATTTTCACAATGATTCATAAGGCAAAAAAATAAGGGGCAAACAATAGAGCATACCAGAAAGTACAGCTTGAATGCAGTCTGATACAATCAAGACACAAAGAAAAGGAGTCATATCCCTTAGATAATCCACAACTTCCTTCTCATTACTGAATGCATATCCCAGAACATGACGAGAACAAAAAAGAACACTGCTGCAAATTGTCGCAGCTGCCATCGAAATTTTAAGTGTTGCCCTAATAGCCATTTTTGCTCCCTCGGGATTCCCTGCTCCGAGTTCATTAGAAACTCTAGTGCTGCAAAAGGGAAAGCGCGTATTTTAGACGTCATTTTTCTTTACAAATATGCACGAGAAATATGTAATACGATACAAAAATCAGTAGAGGGATCCGAACCTTGCTCCAGCACCAAGGGAAAATGGTATGAAATAAAGTGTGGAAGCAACCGACATGCTGTCAATAAAACTCTTTTACATCGTCAGTAATTAAAACTTAAACTTTTGTTATGAAATAGCGAAAGATAAGACAATAATGAAGTGTACCATATCGAAAGCACTGAAGTCTCAAGCTGAGGCTTTGGCAAGAGACCAGCAAGCAGTATCACTATCTCAAATGTCCACCACTCAAGGCTGCAATCATCACAATGTTCTATTGATTAGAACAACAAACAAACTAAGGCATAAAATCTCGGTTGAAGACGGAATTAAATAAATAAAAATATATGTTTTTCTTAACAATTTTAAGTTTTTAAATGAGATAATCATCACACAATTCGACATGGTGTTTGAGTAAACAGACGCATTAAAAGTATGTGATGTTTGGCTATAATTCCATATTTTTAGTGCATTACTCGCCTTATATTTGGGTGTTTTAATGATTAATTGTATGACTTTTGAGCTTAACTGAGTTAGTTTTATGTGTAGGATCATTGGAATGCATAAATGAACGAAAGTTGCACAAAAAGATGTTGAAAATACAAGAAAAGAGTATGACAGGAGAAATCGACGCAAGGCAAGAAATGACCGCGCCCCAAAGCTCGCCCCATCTCATCCCAGACCAGGCGAGGCGAGGTTTCATCTCGCCCCAGACTAGGCCTTGCCAGGTTATTTCCTGGCCCTAGACCAGGCCTTGCGAGGTTAAAGGCCTGGTCCCCTATCCGAGAAAAAATTGTTTCCTTTTAAAATTTGAACTTGGAGACTTCGACCCTAACCTATAAATGCTCCCAAACATGTCTAAGAGGGGGGTGGGGACATTTTCGAGAGGGGAATTTGACCAAGGGAGAGCAAGAGCCGCTGTGGAGGCTGGAATCCATCAGATTCCATCTTTCTTTTGGCAAACTTAGTAATATTTATGTTTCTTTGGATGTCTGCTACTAGTATACTCTCTCTAAATGCTCTTATGTAAGTTGGTCACACACTTCAACATGGTATTAGAATAGTAAAGGTCCTGCATTCGAGTCTTGCCATCACCCACTATCAAGAAGAATCTTTACCTACTTGTCCCGTGAAAAAGAATCAGACCCACACGCAAGGAGACGCGTTGAAGGTATGTGTGATTAGGCATAAGATATTTCCTTTAAAGCAAAGGATATGGAGCAAACTTACCAAACCATGCAAGCAGAAGGAATAGCCAAAGGGAAGAATTCTCTTATGCTAGCAAAAACTTCTTCTGATGAGAAACAAAGACGAGTCTTTTCGCAAGACGAAGAGTATTTCACATACAAACCAAGCAGTAAAACATTGAACCAATAAGACAAACCAATTGCAACTGCAGCTCCACAACTTCCCACGTTCAGCTTGAATATTAATAACCAACAAATAGGCACATGAAAACAGAGAGTTGCAACAGAGCTCAGAACCATAGGAAGGATCAAGCTTTGCGTCTGCAAATACCGTATTAATGCTTGCAAAATCACGTACGGAAATACTGCAGCTATGAGCCAAATTGAATATTTGGCTGCTTCTATGGAAATAAGAGGGTCTTGTCCCAAGAATATAAGAATTTTGTCAATAAATAACCATAGTATAGATATCGGAATGCAAACTATAAGTAGAGATATAATAGCCCCAGTAGTGTAGATTCCTAATTTATTGTATTGTTCAGCACCATAAGCTTGCCCGCAGAGAGTCTCTAAAGCACTAGCCATTCCTAACTGCATTGCAACCAGACAAATATTATTACCAGAAACTTTGACATGGAAAATACAATAATGGAGGACCAAACAGTGAATTTTCAAGTTCGCTAAATACAATAATCAGGGTAGGATGCCTACATCATATCCCCTTGTGGTGCAAGCCTTCCCCGGACTCTACGTGAATATGGAATGCTTTGTGTACCGGGTTGCCCCTGCCCTAAGTATGTTTATTATGTGTGTTAATTAGTCTAATAGATCAAGAGCTACTTTAGTCCTGCAAATTACCGAGAAGTATGTATAAGAGACAGACTCTTTAAAAATAATGTAAATTAAACGTATTGAGAATAAGAAGTAAGCTTTAGAACCTCTATATCCCACACGCAAATTGACATCCAAGTTGAATACTTATAACATACAGCCATCACTTGCACAAAATTCTGCATACGCCACTGCCACTAATCAACTACTAACCTACTTATAGGAATCACAATTTTTACATTTCTCGGCTTCAAGATCATGAGTTATTATGCCATGTAAACTTTTCCTAGTGCATTTTCAGCATCCTTATCATTTTCTAGATCAGTAATAGGGGCAAACACTAAAATTAAGGGCAAGCATGAGAGGCCTAATTAGGGCCATAAAACAGGAATTCAGGACGATTTAGAATTTTTTTTGTGCTAATGTCCATATCATCTTTATGAATTCAGGCGACGGGTTTCGAATAGCCTAAAATTTTTGTGGGCCCATCAGAAACGACATAATGAACAATAGTCATTGCTTCGCCATAATTATTCCTCATTTTTTAGCGTTTTAGTGCCATAAAATAGGAATTCAAGACAATTTTCAAATATGAATACGGGCGACGGGCTGAGGCACAGAACCCATAACATATATTGTGCTCAGTGCACAGAACTCTCACTATCAGCGAGGTCCTTAGAAAGGTCAGACCACATTAAATCTATTGTACACATTCTTATTTTGCATCTCTATAAAAAAGCTATTTTCACGGCTTAAACTAGTGACGTCCTGGTCAAACGACAGTGGCGGAGGCACAACATATGTTACGAGTTCGTAAGAACACCGTATCTTTGGCCCAACCTTATACATGTAATCCACTAAATATGTACGTAAAATACACTGCGAACCCAGTAGCATAAATGGACTGCGGCCAGAATCCATAAACTTTAAATCCTGGACCAGCCGCCAAAAGGCAACAACTCTTACCACTCCATCGCCATGCTTCCCTTCAATCAACCAACTATGGAACAATGGAAATTAAGTAAAGAAGAGTATGAGGAAAGAAGGAAACTTACAACAAGACTAAAGCCAGTTACATTAGTGAGAGAGGTGGCAACAGAAGCTCCAGATAGTGAGAGTTCACCCAAATGCCCAATCATCATCATTGACCCAATTCTTACAAGATGCTGTGAAAGATTGACCATTAACATTGGTAATGCTATGTAACTCACCTTCTTCATCGCTTCTATGTAGACATTCCATGTTCTTCTTCTCAAAGTTTCCCTCTTCTCTGGCAGAAGCAGAGCTTCTTCCATAACTGAACTCTGTATTTGCTTGAACTTGGTTCAACTGTTAATAGTATTCATCCTTTAGGCCATAATCTATACACGTATATACTTCTGAATTGGCCATTTCTTTTTCCTTTTTCTTTTTTTTTTTTGTTGGAGGCAAGAGAAGAGTTGGGGAATTTTTTTTTCCCGATGTCTAGTACCCGCATTGTAAAACGACTAAATTTGAATTTCTACGAACAATCTGGGTAATACGCTCCCTAACAAAAGTGATTCCAAGTGACGAATGTTGACTTCTCCTCCTGATTTCTATATACTCCTTCCGTTTTAAAAGACTGTCTTGACGCAAACTTTAATAAAGAAAAGAATGATTTTTAAGATACGTGGTCTTAAATCAGCCATAATATTTGTGTTGCCGTAAAATTTTTGAAACTTGTGGTCTGAAACCTATCATAGTGTGTGCCTATAAATGCTTCCTATTAAAGAAATATTGAAAGGTGTCAATCTTTTTGGAACAGACTAATATGGAAATAATGTCATTCTTTTTGAAACAGAGAGAGTATTGTTTTACAAAGCTGATTATCTTTACTTGCAATAAGTTAAGTCCTTACTTGATAGTTATGGGTGGCAAAATTGTTAAAAGAAAACAGTTAACCGCCCATATTATCCACTAAAAAATGAATTGGATAATGAACATTTTAAAAACGGGTCAAATATGGATAAGAACCATACTATCCATTCAAAAAATGGATAACCAATGGGTCTAACTTTTATATTTGTAAAGCCTCAAATTACGGGTTCCTCAACTTAGGGAGACCAAGAATTCTCCCAGTAATCATATGCAACAAGTCATGGTTACCCATATTATCCACCGCTTAATCCGTTTTTTATCCGTATTAAATATGAATCGGGTCGGATAATTTATCAGTTTTTTATTATCGCTTTTCGACCTGAACCGTATCCGACCCGACTCGTCCGTTTGCCACTGTTATTGACAGTGGACCTTTCTTTTCTTTTTCTCTTTCCTTTTTCTTTTGGGCTGTGGGACGTGGGAAGATGACTTCCCTCTTCGTAATTTCTACATCACTCTTCACTATAGTTATTAGCTCAACCACTTTTTCTAAATGAATGGTAGATAAGTAGTGTGATTATTTTATGCGAAGATATAGATCAAGATGCTCTAAGTTCAATTACTTTAGTCTTTTTTATTTGTTTATTTTGAATCGGGTGTTCATATTCGATATTCCTGGAGTCCCACAATCTAGATTCAGTTTCCATGTTCTTATTTGCTAACATTTTGTTGAGATTTGAGAACAATATTGAATTACCTAGTTTATTTATTTGCTATGAAGACACCGTGCCTAGCATTCTTACTGGACTTCTTTTTCTCTTTTCGTGGGATTTAAATATTGTCAGAACTGTTTACTTATTTATATATTGGCAATAAAAAAACATCTACTTGTAATATTTTTGGATAAATAAGAGAAGGTCATTTAATGATATAAGTTGTTTCTTTTATATTGGTAGTAAAATAATTCCCCATGTGTAATATTTTTGTGTATATAATAGGAAGTCATTTAGGATGTAAGTAGTTGTTTTTGTTGACAATGACAAAAATTATCATGGTGACTTTGACCAACTCAACAAATGAAAGCTAGCTACCTCCTTTAAAATAATTACGGACCACAATGAATTTCGCAGTTTTTTTTTTTTTTTAAAAAAAAAAAAGATATTTAGTTACGCATAAGGAGGGGAGGGGAAATGGAGGAAGGAATTTCAAGATATTTTCTTGGAAATTTTACATACTATAGCTAGATCTGTTCAGATTTTCGATGACTCTGCTTCAGATTTTCTTCTTCTCCGGCGACTTTGCTTTATATTTCCAAAAGCTCAATTTGTTGTCACAGTCCATTACTTAAATGATCGCTCAACTATTGGAAACTATCAAGTAAAGTCATCCTTCTTTTGTTTGTAACAGAAAAGTCACTTAACTATGTCTATAGCACTCAGAAGGTCACTCAACTAGATTTCTCAGACTTTTGATTGTCAAATACCTATCTTATCCTCTAAAATATGTATTTGATATTATGGACTTACCTATGGAACAAATAAATTGTATCTATAAAATAAAAAATAAAAAATATATTTTCTAGCATATATAATGTCTGAATAATAATAGAACTGGGCATAATTTTCAAGAATATATAATGTATATTATAAAAATATATTTATATTACGTGCATGAAATATATATTATAAGACCGTTATTTTCTTTCATTCTCAATTGTGTAAATATTTTTTTTGAGTTTTTGTTGTTAATATCGAAATTATTATTACAACCAAATTGTTATAATTAATTTTTTTTACTATGCTCAATATTTTATAATTCCAACATTATATATTCTAAATACTATTTTATTTTTTAATTTATAAATAAAATTTATTTATTCTATAGGTATGCCCATAATATAAATTAAAAAGTGTGATGACCCGATAGGTCATTTTGAGCTTTAGCCTTCATTGACCCCGATTAGCTCCGTTTAGCGTGTCTCGATTTACGTGCACAGTCCACGTCTTATTCCGGAAAATCATTATGTGAAAAATCCAAGTAAAATGTAAATTTTTATCTTTAAAATGACTTGAGCTGACCACGGCCAATATTTTGTGTAAACGGACCCGGATTAGTATTTTGACGGTCCCGGTGGTTCTGTATCATGATTTGGGACTTAAGCGTATGCCCGAAATTGAATTCGAAAGTCCTAACTTGTTTTGACTCATTTTGCTGGAAATTAGCATTTTTGAGAGTTGAAGAATTACTAAGTTTGACCAAGATGACTTCTTGGCTAATGGGTTCGGATTTTGATGTTAAAACTTGGAATAGTTTCGTATTACTATTTGAAACTTGTCTGCAAAATTTGGTTCAATTCGAAATTGATTTGACATGATTCAGACACTTAAATGCGATTCTAGTGTTCTTGAGTTCTGTCACGACCCAAAATCCACTAAAGTTCGTGATGACGCCTGACACCGTCGTCAAACATCGTCGTCAAACAAGCCAACGGTGAATGATTAACTTAATTACTCATTTTAGTATTTTTGAAATTCATCAATTAAATAGTATGAAATAGAATTTACAAGGCAAGTGATAATGTTTTCACAACTACAATAAAGAACAACCCATAAGCACCCCCAAAAATCGGTGTCACAAGTGCATGAGCATCAACTAGGAAATATAATAAAATACAACCTCTGTGTGGAATACAAATTAGATAGGAGAATATAAATAACTCTGATGCATACTCTACAGGCTGCGGATCGTAATATAAAATGCAACTCACGGTAAGTCCCCGCAATAGCCGCGCCTCTACGCACAAAAGACCACCTGACATATATGTACCTGCACAAAAAATGTGCAGCAAGTGTAGCATGAGTACATAGATCAACGTGTACCCAGTAAGTATCTAGGCTAACCTCAGAGAAGTAGTGACGAGGGGTCGACATCGACACTTACGAGTGGTCCAATAAGACAGATACAATAAGAAGTAAATAGATATGGGGTAGAGTAAACAAATGAAATAAACAAGTGTAAATATGTGGTACAATCCTCCTCTCTACAATAAACTCAAGCTCTCAATTAGCAATTTCCTATATATATATATATATATATATATAATGGATCTCACCAGATAGGTCGTCATAATCCAAATCAGGAAGACTCATAGATACACTGACTTCTTGTCAAATATTACGCACGATTCCATGAGAGTATTATAGAAATGCCAAGGCGTACGACCCGATCCCATCATAATATGTGCACTGCCGAGGGTCGAATGACACGAACCATAGATGCATCTATTACTGCCAAGGCGAACGGCCCGCTCCCATAAGAGTGTGGTACATAATCCTGTCGAGGCGAACGGCCCGATCCCATTAGAATAAGAATCTTTAACGGATCCTTGACCCCACTCAAGAATAAACGCGTGAGTTATAATTTTAACGAAAACCTTTCGATGAAAACGCATAGCGCAGGAGGAATCCGTAAGAGGGACACAATTATTTCGCGGCTAATCATGAAACTCGTCAAATCTCTACAATAGCAAGTCTATCACTCTACGCACGTCTAGTCTCAAGTTGTAATGCGAAATAAAGAAACTAAACGAGCAAGGATAACCCCTATAATATAGGTATAGCATGGTGTGAACCTAAGTCTACCCGAACAATAACATGAATCTAATTACGTACGAACTCTCGTCACCTCATGTGTAACCCCCCCCCCCCAACAAGTCACATATATTAAATACATCACCTAGGGTTAGTTTCCCCCTCACATAGTTAGACAGAGACTTACCTCGCTCCGAAGTTCCATAATCGGCTCCAACGCCGCTCTAGCACCTCAAACCGGTGCCCATCGCTCCAAAACTAGTCAATCAATGTGCAAATTCATAAACATATACTCTAATACTCATTATAAATCAAATTATAATGATTTCCAACTCCATTAGAAAGATTGATAAAGCCAACCCTCGAGCCCACGTGCCCGGATTGCGAAAATTTTCGAAAATAAACATTACCCATAATATTACTAACTCAAATATATAATTTATTCCAAGTTCCATGTCCAATTTCGTGGTAAAAATCCAAAAATATCAATTTCTAGGTTTCTTTCAAAATCTCACAAATTTCTACCTATTTCCATGCTTGAATCCATATAAAAACTATGTATTTAACTCACAATGTGAAGAAAGCACTTACCCCATAATAGTTGATGAAGATGGCACTCAAAAATTGCTCCAAAAATCGTCTCCCATGGACGAAATGAAGTGGAATTGAGCCAAACCCTTTGTTTTAAAAGGACACTGCCCAGCTCGACTACCGCACATGCGGCCGCTTCATTGCATATGCGGTCTCGCAGGTGCCGCCAAAACCTCGCACCTGTGCATACCCTCTGCCCAGCACAACTCTGCACCTGCGATGCCAAACGCGCCCCTGCGGTCTCGCACATGCGGAGACTTTTGCTTTTCCGACTCCAGCTGCCCAGCTCGCATTCCGCTTCTGCGGAGCTTTCCTCGCATCTGCGGGCTTGTAGATGCGAAAACATCCTCGCATCTGCGGC